AAAATCCCTGCTACTGGACGATCTATTACCAATATTTATACTTTACTTATTTAGACGTTCCAACCAACGCTGCATTTATTACACGTATTTTCTCTAGACCGTGTACCATTAGTTTGACATTTCCAAACCTCATGTTGATTTTGAGCTTTTTATTATTCGCCGCCTTTGTCCCTCCCTGTTCAGTAGCCGATTCTAATAGTTCCCTCCGTGTTTAGTCTCATTTTGTGGTACCCACATTGACAATGTGCTGTTCAACAAAATAAGTTTGTTTGAGTGAATGAAGATCATTCGGACTAGACTAGACTAGACTAGACTGTCTGCGGGAAGTGTCGGTGTGATTCTTGTGGACAAAAATTTTGATCCCACCTCACGGGGAATATTCTCCTCTATCTTAAGGTACGTACGTTTTACAGTTGAACTTCGGTTAACTAATTTTCTCTTACAGTACTTGTATTGTGTTTAGAAACACAAAATATTGTGTTTATGGCTGCCTCATAGTAGGTAGGTAAAATTGAATTTGATTTTAATATTGTTCAATAGAACTGCTAAACCATATCAGAATAATCGTCTTCTCCCTGAGTTTGGAACACTTTGTGATAGTGCGTATCTCAACGAAGTTTTGTCTGATAAAGCCAATACTGCAAAAAGTATGAATTCTCGGTTATTTCTATGCATTAGAAAGAGAGGAGCACAACAGCTACAATCATATTCGTGATTCTTAATTCAAATAACCCAACGAATGGGAAAATATACGCCCAAAGTATTCCCATAGTTTTCGATACATCACACATAAATTGACTAGCACTCCACTATCCTTCCTCGACAATCATACAATCTATTGATGCATCCAGAGGAGTATAGAACTCGGTTCTGTTCAGCATTACATTCATGTTAAACTGTTATTCATGAGTATTTGCAAGATTGATTCCCTTTTTATAAGAATAATCATTGAGAAATACACCGAAAAGCATTGCAAACATAATATTATACTTCATGGTCGGAGCTTAGCTTATGTGTTGTAAGAATGCCTCGCAGTCACTACAAAGCTAATGTTAATTCCCTTCCTACTTGTTCATTCTCAATCTTTCCTTTTGCTCAACATTAAACTACTTACCATTAGTAAGTAGTATGGTTTTTATATGTTAATTTATAACAATGACATTTGCTTACAACTGCAGTTAAATTACTTGTTCTATTATCACATTCTATTAATGTATAGTTCTTATTTTTCTTCGCCTTAAACATTATTTGCTGACCTTACCCTATTATAGTGTATGCTTTACTACTGAAAGTTGTTTGTTCATATTTGTTTATTTTTTGCTTGGCATTCGCAGGCCGTTTGAACCGACACATTGCTGTTTTTACTTATTGACTGCACAGTGGTTGTGCATTTGACGGAATTTAGCCACAGACACCTAACATTTTGAGGTTTGTATATTGTATATCTATTTTTATGTAACAAAGTACCATATTGCAGAATATCCTGTATTTCTGACTTTACGCGTCCGTCACTCTACGTGTGGTTAAATCTATAGTTTGGATTATCGTTTCGGATTTCTTTCGGGAGAAATTCACAGCTGATCTATTGAGAATGCACGTAGAATGCACGATAGATGCACTCACTCATCCAGATGACTGTGGGTTAAGGTTCTTTGAGATCTATTGATATTTCTGAGACTGTTCTTTACCGTACTCCTGACTCTAACTCGTTATCCTGTATTTAAGCCTAATGCTAACCTTAACTCTAATATAAAGGCCATATCTCGATCGCACAAAACAGATTTACAGAAACAGGAGAATAAGTGCGATACTGTGTCTATTTCTGCCCATTCTAGGTTCAGAAAGGCAGGCAGTCAGGAGTGATTCGGAATCACCTTTCATATCATTGATTCCTGTATGTGATTAGTTCTTGGAGATCAGTGGTCGGAAGAACTTGGTTGGTCTTAGCTATGATACTTTCACTTTGTTCGACCTCAGTGAATGCTTTCAGCAAGACTGGCACTTCTTAATCTTAAGCGGGCTGTTCTTTTTCTAGGCATTTTCACAAGTAGTTCACAACCTACAGGGTTTGCTTTTCGGCGATATTTCAGCCCAGATGCAGCCCAGCGCTGACTCACATTACCTTAGAACAACCAAACTTAGTTCAGCGAATAGCGTTATAGTATTAAGCCCTCAATTAGCACTGACTAGCATCGTTTCATCATTGCCTATGCGTATTGTGGAATGCGAATTCAGGAACAAGATTAGTTCAGAAATGCCGAATTCTTCTTCGGAAGATGTCAACAAACCTTAATCAACGCATTATAGAATGACTGCTGCTAAATATCAGGAACTCTATCCTGTACTGACAAAATTCATTGAGTTTGTAGAAAGAGAAAGGCGGTTTTATAGTTCAGAGAATATTATATTTTATTATTACAGAAAAGAGTTGCGGTAAATCCGTTAATT